AAAGTCTTCCACATTGAAGAAGAAAAATGAAATGCAAAGCAAGGATGATGGAGGATATCAACCTTGATAAAAAAATATTTGTGATAATCATATCATTCTGCGCATGTGCGAGGAACATGGCTACCGAGCTTACCGCTCCGGCTCCGTACAAGAGAAACAGCCAGTAAAGAGGAGAAATTGAGCTCAGAGACTGAGCCGGGAGAAGCCAAGGTACGAGTGATCTTTGGGGGACCTGGTGCTGGCAGTGAATTGGAGAGTTCTGCTCTCCAAGGCTGCCGTTCGTGAAAGACGCTGACGCTGCTCAGAAGGCGCTGCGGCCCAGCTGACCTGAGAGAGCCCCGACCCTCCCGTGTCTGCTACCCTGACTGCCGTAATCGCCGCTGTGCCGCTGGCTGTGCCCTGACTGCCGTAATCGCCGCTGTGTCGCTGGCTCGCAGATGCTGGCTTGAGAACGCCGCGGCTCGCTAATGCCGGCTTGAGAATGCTGATGCCGGCTGAGAACGCCACGGCTCAGCTGTTCGGAAGACTCCACGGCCGAGCTGCTAGGGGAGCTCTGATCTTCCCATGATTGTTGCTTTGGCTGCCACGACCACCGCTGTTTGTTGGCTCGCTGGCCCGTTGGCTGTAAGAACACCGGAAGACCCCGCGGCCTAGCTGTCTTTGGGGGAGCTCGACCTCGCTACGACTGCTGCCCCGACTGCTGCAACCACCGTGGTGCTATTGCCGGCCCAATGACTTGCTCGTATGCTGAGGCCCCTTTGAGAACGCCGCGGCCCAGCTGTTGAAAGGGGCACCCCCCCCCCCATCGTAGATGTAGCTTTTTGGCTTTGGGTTCAGACTGTCAGGGGGGTTGGTACGATTATTTCTGTGAACTGACTGCTGCATATTGAGCCTTTGACCATCATGACTGGCCTTTCAGCTCTTGCTGTTGCTGCTACTACCCATGCTTACTTTGCCTTCCGACCGCCCCTGCCCCTGCCTTCGTCCTCAGGACCACCATTGTGCTGTGAGTTGGGATTCTTGAACCCACTTCCGGCCTCGCTAAGATCCAATCCTTGCAGTAAAATGCAGGGAACGAAGAAGACGTGGGCAGGGAGCCTACTCTGTGCCTCCCCCCAACTGACACTAATCTTTCAATTACTTCATACCTTTGGACATTGTCCTCTTTACTGGACTTTGCAGAGGAGAAGGCTAAGAACATTAAGACCTCCTCTCTTATATTAGTACAAGCCTTGTACGAACTTTGCACAGTTGCGCAATTTTTAATTGGTATGGTGAGTGTATGGGAT